CAATTCTTACCTGGGTAGAGCCTCCTCTGGCTGGCTTGTTGCTTACAACTCTCTTTCAGCACCTTTCTTCTGGGAGGGGGACGTCTGCTTGTTCCTTCCCTGTCTATCTCTCCCCCAACTCCTGCCTCATGAGCCTCTTTCCTATCTCAAAATAACCCTCAAACCAGACACATTCTGCAAGGCTCGCACGGGGGATGCGGGAACACTCTTGCAACCCAGCCCCACAAAATGCTGGGAGTGTGGGCTGGTCCCAAAGATGCCCAGGCTCTGCCTCAGGGACATGGGGCAGACTCTCAGCCTTGTCCCTTACTTGCCTTATCTCCCAAATTCCAGCGGACATGCACCATGCATTCTGGTTCTCTGGTGTTCCCTTTGGAATGGATACTTGGTCTCTATTGTTCTCAGCTTTAGGGGTCTGGGCTGGAGGCAGACAGCAGGGCTGGAGAGAAAGAAATGGATCTGAGTGACATTTCCATGCAGGGGTCAGTTAGTCACAAATTCTGGTGGCTGGCTGGAAAGGAATGAGTCAAAGACAAGGCCTGGGGTTCAGGCCCCATCAGGGGAAGGAAATGAGTCAGACACTCATTAGGGGGCACACTTTGCAGTTGGGAGACTGGTTTTAAATGTGGAGTTTGAAGGCATGGCATCAAGGTGGAGTGGAGTAATTGAAATAGGAACTTTGAAGTCAAGGAGTTGGATTTTAATCTCAGCGGCACAACCTTCTAATAGAGTCACCAGGAGCAAGTGATTCAGCCATTCTCTCTGGTTTCTTTGGCTGCACCATGGGAGGATTTATGCAAGAGTGAAATGCAAGTGTGTGTGTAGTTCAGAGCCTGGCTCATGGAGCGCTCAGCGGAGCTCCCTGCAGTCCCAAGAGGAAGGGGGTATTACTATCCTTTCCCATTCCATAGATGGGGAAACTAAGGCACAGAACAGATATGCGTATATTCCAAGGGCCCTGTACAGCTGTGCTGTCCAGCTCCAGTGACTGTGCCTTTAACCACCATGCTATGCACAGAAGGGTGTTGGCGTGGTGGTTAAGGATGATGTGTAGATTTAAATCCTGGCTCTCCCACTCCAGAATTTCTAAGCAGGTAATCACATTTCTGAGCCTCACTTCCCTTATCTGTAGATTGTGGGTACTGTGTTCTCTGGTGCTATGGTTAGAATAGTTCTCCTGTCTAACACTCATGTTGAAGCTTAATCCCCAATGCAGGGGTATTGAGAAATGTGGCTCTTAAGAGATGATTGGGTCATGAGGGCTCTGCTTTCATGAATGGGTTAACCCACTCATAGATGAATGGATTAATGGGTTATCATAGGCATGGGACTGTGGCTTTATAAGAAGTGGGAGGGAGACATGAGGTAGCACTCTCAGCCCCCTCACCCTGTGATGCCCCGTGCCACCTGCAGACAACTCTGCAGAGTCCCCAGCAGCAAGAAGGCCCTTATGAGACACAGCCCCCTTGACCTTGAGCTACTCAGCCTCCATAACTGTAAGAAATAAGTCCCTTTCCTTTACAAACTACCCAATATCGGATATTCTGCTGGAAGCAACAGAAAACAGACTAGATATCTGGGTTGTGGGGATTTAATGAATCAGTTAGTCCACTCTGTATGTGTTAGCTATCCTGAGAGTAATTATGAATTGGAAAGGATAGAGGGAGCCCCCTCCCCCACTTTACAGGAGATGATATAGAGACCCAGAGAGGGTGACTGACCAGGCTCAGGTCACACAGATGGAAGAGCTGGGTCTTGAGCTACTGTTTTCCTTCTCACCTCAAGCTGTTACATGGGAGGAGGACATCGAGAATTACTGAGCAGATAGCTGGGACGCCATACTGGAAGTCAGAGTTGTGGTCACATCTGGACACAGATCTAGAAGGTATTTCTTCTTACCCATCACCTCCTTTAATCCAAATAAGCCTGCCAAGTAGGGGGTCCTAGTCTCCTTCCCAGCTGAGGAGCACTGAGGCTTGAGGAGAAGAAGTTGCCGAGAGGCTTCAAACCAGGCCACCGGTCTCATGGACAAGGGTCTCTTTATGGTGCCCGAGTTTGAAAGGCAGGCAGATAAAGGCAGGCAGAAAAGGCAGCAGATGAGCTTCCCCGAGGGAACCAGAGATGATAAGAGCAGAAGCCTTCCATGAGGACACCGCTGCATGGAGACCAAGCTGTGCTTGCCAGCAGGGATGGCCAAGGGACCCAGCGAGTAACGATCATTTTAATGAGTCCTCTTGGGGGACAAGGTCCACATATGTCTTTTCCAAACTGTGTCCTGTTTGCTTGCTCACTGCTGGGAGTATCTGAGCTTGAACTGAGAACTCCTAGGGATATCCAGATCTACTCTGAAAGAGCCTGTTGCTGGCGCTGCAGTTTCAGACCCTGAGGCGTGATGGGCAGGAGAAGCTGGTGGGGGGCTTGTCCTTGTTTCATGGGACTGAGGACCCCTGCCACCCGGCTTTGTTCTATTTCCATCAGCCTACCCTGGCTCTGCACCGATGTTTCCCAGGCCCTTGTGCTCATAAAGGCTGATTGCTGGCGGCTGTCATTTAAATGGAGGCTCATGTCTTTGTCAAGCTCTGAGCTCACTCATCCTTTGGAAAAGACAGAAAAGCCTTTGGTACCAATTTGCTCTAATGAAGACCATATCCCCTCTAGAGGGATCAGAGGGGGACCTGTTCCCATCCAGCTTTACATTAGATTGGCTGTGCGCCCCCCGCGTCTACCCACCATTAGGAATGTTCACATTCATCCTTTAATCTCATTGTCCTGAAGATTTCAGAAGGCTAGGGAGGAAGCAAGATGCAGGAGAAAGACAGCGCTGGGTTGCTATACGGATAGATGAAGTCTGGGGTTTTAGTTATCTTTTCACTATTGATTTTATTCTGTTTTTCAATTTTTAAATCATAGTAAAATATATTTGAATAACAAAATTTACCATCTTAACCACTCTTTTTATTTTTTAGAGTCAAAATCTTGCTCTGTCACCCAGACTGGAGTGCAGTGTTATGATCATGACTCACTGCAGCCTTGACCTCCCAGGGTCAATCGATCCTCCCACCTCAGCCTCCTGAGTAGCTGGGACTACAGGTACACATCACTATGCCATTTTAGGAAATCTTCAATGCATGTTTGAAAATAATGTGTTGGGTGCAGGATTCTGTATGTGCCGTTTGTTGTTTTGCTGTTTGCCTTTGTGGCTTGTGTGTTTTGTAATTTTGGATAGTGAACTCACATTTACAAGGGTTTTATCTATGAGAATCTTGTGTGGCCTTTATTGTGGGTAGGACCAGCCACGGAGGCTTGCATTTGCTATTAGTAGCCACATGCCTGTGGTGTAACCCACCCCAGGCTTTTTTCTAATATTAATTTCTGTACTTGGGAGTCCTCGGACCATGTGGATAGTACAAATTCAAACCTCAAATTTCAGTTAGTGAAGGTCTAGAGTTAAAATTTCTTAAGAGATAATTCTTTTAAAATTTTTCCAACAGAGCCAGAAATGAAACAGACAACTTCTTTTCTTCTCCCTTTGTAAAAGGGTGATCTGCTGGGCATGGTGGCTTATGCCTGTAATCCTAGCACTTTGGGAGGCTGAAGTGGGTAGATCACCTGAGGTCGGGAGTTCGAGACCAGCCTGACCAACAGGGTGAAACCCCGTCTCTACTAAAAATACAAAATTAGCCGGGTGTGGTGGCACATGCCTGTAATCCCAGCTACATGGGAGGCTGAGGCAGGAAAATTGCTTGAACCTGGGAGGTGGAGGTTGCAGTGAGCTGAGATTGCACCATTGTACTCCAGTCTGGGAAATAAGAGCGAAACAAGAGCAAAAAAAAAAAAAAAAAAAAGGGTGAAGGGTGATCTTTCCCCACCATTCGCTTTTTCATTGAGGATATGGGTTCAGTTTTATTCCGGTGCCTTGCTTCCCTCTGTTGGCAAGGGTTCCAGGCCTTGTCTCTTATCCCTCCCTCCACAGGTATAAAACCCAAGCTCCTTGGTTACCAACATCAGCAAAGGCCACCACCTCCCACCCCCATCTCCTGCCTCCCTTTGCCACCCATCAGTCCACCCTGCCAGACAGTCAGAGAATAAATATCTGCTTGTCACTCTGATATTTAGCTTTTATCTTTGTTTTCTGGCCTCTGGGAATTTTTTTTTTTTAATATTGGAAACTCAGTTGGGTATTTGAAGTAATGTTTCTGTTTTACCCAGCCTTTTTTCTGTTTTTTTTTTTTTTTTTGAGATGGAGTCTCGCTCTTGTCAACAGACTTGAGCGCAGTGGCACAATCTCCGCTCACTGCAACTTCCACCTCCTGGGTTCAAGTGATTCTCCAGCCTCAGCCTCTCGAGTAACTGGGATTACAGGTGCCCACCACCATGCCCAGCTACTTTTTGTATTTTTAGTAGAGAAGGGGTTTCACCATGTTGGCCAGGCTGCTCTTGAACTCCTGACCTCAGGTGATCCGCCCTCCTCGGCCTTAAAAGTGCTGAGATTACAGGCGTGAGCCACCACACTCGGCCTATCCAGTCTTTAAGTATAGACAGAAGGTTAGCAGGACAGAAAGATCTATCCTTTCATACCCCAGATCTGGGTTCCATTCTCTCTGCCTCTGAGTGATTTTGTAAAGCATGTGAAGCATCCCCACCCCACAACTCTCAGGTCTCGCCTCTGCACTTATCCGATGGGCTTGCTCACTCCCCAGCCTCGCCTCATGGAGATAAAAGTAATGAGATTGGGGAGGTAGAGGTGGGAGATAAGGGACTGGACATTAACCCCCGGAATTTCCAGTGGCCTCCACAGCTAAGCACCTGTGTCCTTGGTGGTGCTTCCAGGAAGGCTGGTGACCAGTCATCTCAGAGCTGAGGTGCACTCAGGGACAAGACCCTTCAACAGATTTCTCCAGCAGTGCCTGGATGGGCAGGAGCTCTCTCTGAGCCTCAAATCCGTAAGTGAAAATCCCTCTAGGATCCTATGGCTGATTTACTCCCAACGTGTCCCAAACCGAACTCATCTTCTCTGCGAGCTGTCTCCACCAGGTTCTCCATCCGAGAGCAGTGCATTCTTACCCCTCTGCCTGCACCACATACCCAGGTGCTTCTTCCAAGAGGCTTTCTCACAAGCTCTCAAAAGGCAGTCCCTCACCAAATCCTAAATATTCCAAACATCCCTCCGCTCTGGCCACTTCCTGTTGTCCCCACTGCCTCAGGCCTCTTTATCCTCACCAGATTCATTTCGAGCCTCTCACCCTAGAGTGGCCTCTGTCCCTCCTGCGACTCCCTCCTGAGCTCACAGCTTCCCTGGCTGATGCTCAGAGCATGTGGATGTCTGGAGGCCAGGACAGGGCCACTCCCCTGCTGCTTCCTTTGTGACCCCACCGCTGTGGATCAGGTGTCCTTGTGCTTGGCCTCTGCAGGCCACCAGGCCTTTTTGAAGTCTGTCCTCTCAGAAGCCAGCAGCCTGAACAAAGAGGGCACAGAATCAGCTTGCAGGCTTATTAGCTGGCCTGTGGGAGCGGCGGGGGGACTGGGCGATTTGATGCGGCCTCTGTCACCTCCCTCTTCACTCCAGGCATGGCTTGACATGGGCCAAAAAATTTCAACTTTTTGCTTTTAAAAAGCAACCAAGTAATTTTGAAAAAATAGTCATCCTCATCCCATCCCATCCCATCCCCCACTCCTTAGCTTGCCCCAGCCCTTAGCTTCACCCCAACGCTGCCCTTTAGTCCCTGGGAGGAGGTCCAGGAATAGGACAAGGAAGGGGTGGGGGCCAGGCTGGGCAGCCCTCCTCTCTCGCTGAGTCAGCTCGCTCTCAGGCAATTGCTTGGTTTTACCCAGTCTTCATCACAAACTCTTTTAATTCCTCAAGTTGCCACAGCCTCCTCACTCATTAACCCTCAACTAATAAGGAGACTTACCTGCTTAGCAATGGTAGGACTTGTGATCAGGGACACAGTGACGAATTTTGGCATGTGCTTGCCTCACATGGGCTGCCTCGTATTCACATTCCCAAGAGCTTGGGGTTCAGTGCAAACAGATGGGTCTGGGGTGAATGCCGACTCCCCTTCTACAAGCGTGCCCCCTGGGGCAAATGAACAAGTTGATGATATCGCCTCTCTGGCCTCCTCCTCCCCATGATGTCTGCTTATAACTCATGGGCTTACTGGGCATGGGTGAGGGACACAGACTAGGGCCAGTGACGTGCTCACCAGAGCTTGGCCAATAGTAGGTGCGCTGATAATTCAGGGTTTTGAAATAATAAGTATGGGCTCATGCCTGTAATTCCAATACTTTAGGAGGCCGAGGCGGGTGGATCGCCTGAAGTCGGGAGTTCAAGACCAACCCGGCCAACATGGTCCAAACCCTGCTTCTACTAAAAATGCAAAAATTAGCCAGGCATGGTGGCAGGTGCCTGTAATCCCAGCTACTCGGGAGACTGAGTCAGGGGAATTGCTTGAACCTGGGAGGCAGAGGTTGCAGCACTCCAGCTTGGGGGACAAAAGCGAGACTCTGCCTCAAAAAAAAAAAAAAAAAAAAAAAAAAAAAAAGGAAGAATGAGGGCTTTCTGGGAGCGTAACACTGAAGTAGGTGCTCAAGATGACTAGGAGGTGGCCAGGAGCAGCAATGCCACTGAGCAGGACCAGTCCTGACTTACTGGCTGGCATCCCCTACCCTGTCAGTGCTTCACTGTAGGTCCCTTTCCACCAGCCTGCCCAGTGGCAGCTCCTTATCCGAGACAGGGACACACTCCCGTTTGTCCTGCTGGCCCCTGGCTGGCCCGGGCCAGGCCCACTGGCAGCGTTCAGAGGCAGTTGGCTGATTGCACTATCTCAGGTCTACCTCTCAGCCACTCCCAAGCCTCACTGTCCCCGTCAGTATAGGAGGAGGACTGAGCTTGATAAGGGAGATGATCTGGGCCTCCCATGTGCCAGGCACTGAGGTGTGGGCAGAGAGGGGACGAAGACTCAGCCCTGTCCTTGGGGAGGGGGACAGACAAAACTGTAGGTCAATACTGACAGAAGTGCCAGGGCAGGCAGGTGGCAGGGGAGGGGCTTCTGGCAGAGGGAGGCAAAGAGGAGAGGGGCAGGGAGGTGGAGGCTGGGGGAGACTTTGCACCTCAGCCATTTGCAGATGGCACATAGGCTGTGGGGCTCTGGGCACTGCAGCCTGGAAATTAACAGCAGTGTCTGTCTGCATTGAATATCCCCAACACCAGGACTAGGTGTGGCAAGGAAACAGATCACATTCCTGCCTGCCCAGAGGCCGTGGTGCCGGGGCATGATCCTGAAGGCGGTGGGCTCCCTGACCCCTATGGTACTGGTGTGGAAGACACAGGGGCCAGGTACAGCCCAAGATGGAGACCAGTGGACCAGGCAGGAGCCGCTGCCAAAGCAGAAGCGCTCAGGACCCTGGGGTGCAGGGCGGGGAGACACTAGAGAGGCCAGACAGGCGGTGTGGTGGTGAGGAAGGGGAGACGAGAGCACCCCCTGTCCCAGGCCTGGGACACAGGCGGCCACGGGAGGCATCGGGAGCTTGCAGGTAGAATGCCAGGCACCTGGGACAGGGAGAGAAGTTTGCCTGGGGCTGCTGCTTTTGGGCCCACCTATGTGGGGAGAGGGTGCCTCATCTCATGAGAGAAGGCACGTGACACCCAGAAAACAAACCCAAAGACCACATTCTCATGACTGGGACATGTGGTGCCAAACCGTGGGATCCAATGGCAAAAGCAGCCCATGTCCTCATTTTGGCCTGCTCTCTCTCCTGGGCTCTGGGACCATGACCCTAGAGGCCCCTTCCTCTCTTCGGGTGCTATGATTCCCACTGAGGATCAGGCAGTGGTGAGACCTCCACCTTATTCCTTGCCCCTACTAGTTATTCTCAAGGGTCCAAGAAGCAGCAGGCATCTGTTTCTCCCGCTGAGGCACGTGTGAGCTGGTGGAGTGTGGGAAATGGGAATCGGAAGCAGGCACGTGCTGGCCCACCTCTGGCCAGTGGTGGGACAGGGCTTCCCCGTCTTCACCTGTCACTAGAGGGGCACAGGCCTGCTGCTTCTGAAAAACCAGTCACAACTGGAAGAAGAGACAGACACACCCCAACCTAGGGGCTAGGCCTCAGCTTCGGAATGTGACAATTTATTTGGGGGGTAAAAGAGGCTTTTCACCCCCCTTTCCTGGCGTTGATACAATATTGAAGAGCAGCAGAACAAACGTACAAGACAGAGTAATCGGCACAGACCCACCCCTCCCCCGGAACCACCGAATCCAGGATGGAGCCCAAACCCACACCCCCAATTAGGCATCTTCTCCATCGGAGGAGGGGCAGGGTGGACTGGGGGACCTGCCCCCCATGCCGGGGCAGCACCTCCATTTCCCATCTCCTGCCAACCCCACTATTTTCCCATCTTTGACCACTGGAGGCAAAGTTTAGCCAGCTGGGAGCTGGATGGTTGAACCACATACAAAGGCAACAACACTTCATTTTAAAAATGAGAAAAAAGAGACAGTGCCCCTCCCCAAATATAGAGCTATATATGTATATTTTATATATATAGAATTCATTCGTGCACAATTCATTAAATGAACTTCTCAAAAATTAAAAAAAATTATAAGATACGTATTTCTTTAGGCCTTTGTGTTTTTAAATTAAAACCAACAAAAAGAAGTCTCCCTCTCCACCCAGCAGCAAGGGCAGCCTTCGCTCCGCTACCTGGCCTGCGGCAAGTGGGCTCCCCCATGAGACTGTCAGTTCCCCTTTGCCTGGCTGACTTCCTGCATACAGTAGGCACTCACTGCTGGAGTGAGGCACTGACTCCTCCAAAGATCACAGAGGGTGGAGGAGGGAACCGCGAAGGTCTGGGAGGGGCCATCTTTAGACCCCACTAACCATCTTCCTATTTCTGCATCCTGGTGACTGTCAGCAAGAGATGAGTCTGGGAGACCCTCTCCTGGAGTTCCGGCCCCTAATTCTGGGCTTTCTATATGAGAGGACATGCAGACAGGGAAGAAACTAAAACCTTTCAACATCTTTTTTTTCTTTAAAAGTGATTCCTCAAACCATACCAGCCCTAAAGAGGCTGCCTTGGGCAAGTGCATGGGAGCCCGAGTGGAACTGACCAGGTGGGGCTCCACTGTCCCATGTGGGCGAAGTGCAAAAAAAAAAAAAAAAAAGAAAGAAAAAGAAAAAAACCACCACAAACCGAAACAAAATGACACAGCAAAGTGGGGGTGTGTCCTCTCGGGTCCCCAGAGGCCAGAGAGGCTGGTAGCAGCCCAGTCCCCTGGCCAACCCAGCTCCCTTTTGGGGCTGACCCTCCAGCCTTGGGCGGGTGCACTGGCCTGGCTCTCCTCCAGGACCTCCTGGCTCAGGGGCTCGCTGCCAGTCTGGTGCTGTCTCCAGGGCCTGCACCCTACCTTTTAAAGGGCTTTTCCCCAAAGGCCAAAGAAAGCATCCTGGACCCTTGTCCCTGCCGCATTCCTCCAGTGAAGCAGCTGGGCTTCTCCAAAACCATTTCCACCTCTGAAAAGGGGCCATCCCCCCAACTCTGCCCACCTCACGCTGAAGTTGGGGACCGGATCATCACCTCTTCCCAGATCATAGGAAGGATGAGGCTCATTTTGACCCTGATCCCTTTGCCGGGTGAGAACAAAGAGGGGTTGTGGGCAGCCAGGGGTCCTAGTACCAGCAACCTTGACCCCCACCTGGTACTTGGTGGCTGCTCTGACATCAGCAGCGCTTTGTGAAGAGGCCTTGATGCCTAATACACCAATTTCACAGAGAGCAAACTAAAGATCAGAGCCGGGACGGAGCCAGGGATGGGTCCCAAGTTTCCAGCTGAAACCAGACACACTAGACCTCACCTGTTTCCTCTGATACTTGGGTGGGGAGGGGGCGCACTTAAGGGGAGATGACAGATGCCCCAACCATTATTGAACATGGGAGGAGATCAGGCTTTGGGGGTTATTTCACATATAAAAATAAAGCAAACCAGATTGCAACTTCTGCTTGGTAATTAGGCAAATGGAAAGCAGCAAGGGTGGAGGAGGGGCCCATGGAGGCCGGTCCGT